TGTTTGGAGCCAGCCTCTGGTGGTCATTAGAGGAACTGCAGTTTTCTGTATTTTCATTTTCAGCCCTCAGGTTTGAAGCCTATTTAACCTTTCAAAACTTCATTTCTTTTCCTGCTTACGCGTGAAACTTTGTTAGTTTGAAGTTCTTTTTGCAGCTTTAGTAATACTGTGGTCACTGCAAGGCTGCTGGGATTATCTACATGACTGCAGGTGGAGGTCAAACCAAAAGCGAGAGCTCTTCGAGTATTTGTTGTTATCTTTAAGTGAAGAAGAAATATTTCCTCCTCCAAACAAACACCACTATCCTCGAAGGTCATTTACATTCTGCTGCCGATGTCTTTTAGCAAACCACGGTTGTTCTTTAACTCTCATGCTTATACTTTTTAAGTATAGTGCCCAAACATATTCGAGGGAGCATAATCATTTACTCGCACTGTAAAAACAAATCCTCACAGGGACAAAAATAAAAATCCGATCTTTTGTCCAATGTTTTTGCTCGAGTCTTTGTCAGGACTGATGCAGCAGCAGGCGAATAAACGGCAAAACATCCCACACTCTGATTAGACTGGCAGAAATGAGCAGTTTGGTGAAGAGCCCGATGTCTGGTTTCAGTATGTCGTCGAGAGAATAATAAAGCAGCTTCGGCAGATTGGTGTTTCCTACATGGTTATTGTGTTTTTTATACAGCATTTCTGTTATTTTGTCCAGCCCTCTGCAGGAGTATAATTTCAGGTATGCATGTAAGTGACTGCAGAAGAACTCACGCTGCTGTTTTTCACTTTTTTATGTGTGATTTTTGGCACTGAAACGAGGCAGACGGCAGGTGGGCAGCTGTGTAAAAACAGATGTTTTCATAACTGAGTTCTGCACAGAAACAAGCCGCTTTGACGTCATGTAACCGCTGACCGATCACTTCAACACACGAGGAAGATTCGGGCCTCCGCTGCCTTTGTCCTCTCACTTTGTGTGTGTGTGTGTGTGTGTGTGTGTTTGTTGGCATGACTATCCAGTGAGTAGGTATTTGTCAAGCAGTGGGTGACCTGCTTCTGAGGTTTCAACACAAATGACCCGCAGACATGGAGGGCTATTGTCCCCCCACCACCACCACCTCCTAATCTGTTTATGCAGCTCCCCAATCTGTCTTTGTGGTCGGTCCAGGACGAGACAAAGCTGGAGCCTCGCAACCACAGAGGCTGATTCCCCATCACGCTGCTCAGTCAGCTGACTCGTAAAGTCATTGTGGAGGCTGACGGAGCATCAGGAGCCGTTAAGATAATTGATTGACCGTGTGGCGGCTGAGGATTATTCAGCCGACACACTTAGGGAAGCTTCTGGAAGTGTGCGTGTGTGTGTTTTTATTTCAAAGCTTCACTGAGCTTTTATGTAAACAGTCGGTTCACACAAAGAAAGTTTCCAGTGGTGGAAATTAACCTCTACATTATGTAGATGCAGGGCAATGGAATCAGATTCTGATTTAAGCTTCTGACATAATCTAGATTTGAAACAGTTGTTATTGTCAATGTTATAACTCGGGTGCACCCTTTTCCCTTAAAACCTCTGGTTGTTGGTACTGAACCGAAGCACTGATGTAAAGGTTTTCTCTCCAGTTTCTTCACACAGAGCAGCTGTTTGGCCGTTTTCCACGACAGATTCTCCGATTTAGAGCAGGAGCTTCAGCAGACCCTCAAACTCAAGGTTGGTGCTCCACTTCTCATCTCCTACATCACACTTATGCCCCTCTGAGTTAAACTGTATTGGTTACGATGCACGGTTAAATCTTTGCACGTGGCTTTTGTGAAGGTGAGGAATTTTGAGACTGAGGCAGGAACTTCCACGTCCTGCTGCCCTGCCGGCTGAAATCAGATTGTTATTGCTGTCCATGTGAAACAGTCGTTCATGTTTTCCTGCAAATTTCCAGACTGAAGGGTGTTTTAAACTTCTTAAAGTTCTGTGTGGTAACATCAGGGATGTTTTCTCTATTGAGACGTTCATCCAGTGTTTTGGTCAGAGCTCGGGTGAGTCTTTCTTTCTTTTGTCTGAATAAAATCATTAAGATCTGCTCTTCAGTCACTCCTGATCATCCAGCAGTCAGAGCGACCTTGTGCCTTTGCTGTTGTTACACTGAAACCCCGGAAAGACATCCCAGATGTCCTCAGACAGATTGTAGTGTCTTTTTTAGGAACCTGTTTATTTTATTTTAGTGTAAAATACTTTGATTTTAAATGTGCTGTAGAAATAAAATTTAGTGAATGAAGCATTAAGTACTCAGTTGGATGGAGTCAGTTACATGTCTCCTCACATCAGTTCTCCACAGCGATCACACCTTCAGCGCGAGCTTAGAGTTCTCCGGCACACTTTGAGTCGGGCACCGATCAGAACCTGCTGGTTTGTGGAAAAAAAGAAGCTCTCTCAGTGCAGTGCTGAGATTTTACTCTCCACCTGTGTGTCTCTGCAGGACCTCTGCCCTCCGGACCAATTGAAAGACGAGGACAGTCGAGCGGCTCTGAGGAGCAGTGCTGTGAAGTATCTGAGTTACAACCGAAACCTGCTGCCCATGTTCGCCTGCCCGGGCCAGCTCTGACCTCACGCCTGTTAAAATACTAAAACAAATCAGACTCTGTTTGAGGTGTGGTAACTGGTTTATATTGTGTATGTGTCACTGGATACCTCCAATCATTTGAGCTGGCTCAGGAATGCTGTGGAGACACTGTGTCTGCTATGTGTAAATATATTATTATATCAGATCTTTAGAGTCCTGGAGAAATTTTTAAAATCAGCAGCTCAGCACAAAAACACAGTCAGGAGTCACATGACATTTTTTAGTCCTGTTATGTTCAGAGAAAGCAAACAGACAGTCAGCGTCTCCAAACTGGATTACTCACACCAAAACACTGATTAACACTACTGATTTGTTTTCCATCAAATGGTTAAAAAATATGTGTTTTCTTAGATTGCTTCGATTAATCAATATAATCCAAAAATTTTCCATCAAATAAATGTTATTTTAATTGTTTTCAGAGATAGAGAGAGAGAGTGGTCTAATCCAGTAAAACTTTCTTTGTGTAAGAGTTCTGGCTAACTTTTAACGTCATTACCATTAAATTAATGCTTGCATTCATTTTTCTTGTGTGGACATCTGATAATTTCCTTTTTAATCCTTAAGATCTCTCATTAATCAGAGTGTGAGCAGTGTTTTACACCAGATGAGAACGAGAGTCTGGCATACTTTTACATTCCTGTTTTGTTTTGTTTTTTCTTCTATACAATGTGCCAACTGTAAGTGTGACTCTGCAGGAGTGTGACCAATCACAGGGCCCTATAGATGCTGCACATAAAAGTGGATGTTTGGCTTTTTGGAAGGAGGAGGAGGGGAAATGAGGAGGGCGTCACTCTACAGCTGTATGCTAATGAGGCTGAGCTGAAGCCTGTCGGGAAAGTAACACACACACGCACACTCCAACACGCACACACACTCACTAACGCACACAGAGAACATATGCCTGAACCCGCAAGCTGAGAAAACAGCACGCTGCTTGTGTGGAAGTATAAAGTCAGATTGTAGGACATGAAACGCTGAGTGACTTTAAGTGTCAGCTTCACTGCGTGGATATCACAATGCGCTGTCCGTGGTAATAAACACACACTGTACACGGCGCTCAATGAGAGTTTTGCAGTGTTTGTATAGATGTTAGTTCATTTTGTGCGCTGACCTGTTACTGCTAAACCATTATCCACCTGCACTCCCTGTTATCATGACATGCGCATTATGGGTGAAATAACCTATGAATAAAGTTTAACTATAAATTTTTTAACAAAGCTCCCACTGGATAAAAAATCTCACTTTTAAAAGATGTGAGCTTTTTTTTTTATCAGAAAATCTAGTTGTTGTTTTTTTTTAAACATTTGGAGGCATGTGCCTGCTTCTACCCGAGGAACATTTAAAAATTAAAAACGATAACAACTGATTAAAGAAAGTTCTCGAAACACGTGGATTTTAAAGGGACACACATTGAAACCGGTTATTTTGAATGTTGTTTTAGGAAAATGTGGGTTTAAATATTCGTAAGAGACAGACTGGCGGATAAGATGTAGATTTTTTCATAAAAAAGACCAGAACACAAGAAACGACGCGTGTTTATTGAATGCTCTCAGTTTGGACACGCCAACAGTCAAAATTTGAAATGGGTTAGTGAAAAGACTTTCCGGACATCTCTCTCACGTCTTCATTTTACGCCAGAATCTTGCACCTGTCAAACGTGTCCTCGAGCCCTGCACCGACAGACAAGGGATGATGGGAGCATCATCTCTCACGGTGCAGGACAGACTCACATCCGACTGACCGGGTCAGACTGGACCTGCGGGGTTTGATGTGGTTTAACGGCCAGATAACCTCACTTTGCCCCATTTGGAGACAGAAAAAGCGCACTGATTACGCGCAGCACGCGCCGACAGTATCTAGGGTCCAGATTGCTTTTTGTGTGGCGGGGGGGTAGACCCCCACTCCTTCTTCATCTTCCATTTTTTTCAACTGTGCAATTTCCTTTTCAATCAGGACGGGTCTACAGCTTGCACAAGCGCGACCATTGTGATGCAAAGCAGGACACCCTCCGCTCGCCATTAATTATGTATGCGTAAAATGACGGATTCATATGTCCGGAGTTAACTGTCACGCCAGCGCACATGCTGCAGGGCCACGGTGGTTTCAAATCTGTCCCTATTATTGTGGATGTTTAGTTATTTGTCCGCTGAGGTCGAATTTCAGCTGGCTTTCGTGTGCGTAAAAGCCGGACTGCAGATCTGATCTCGGGGAAGTTTGTTTTCCCGGAAGTCTTTGAGTGTCTTAAACATTCTGAAGGTTTTGAATGGAAGCAGTTAAAGTCTGGAGCTGCTTTCACTGACATTTGCTTAAAATGATGTTGAGCATTTGTACTTTATTTCCCTATTATGCGCATTTTAGCCCTTTGAAGTTTCTTCTTCTACCTTCCATTTTTCTGTATTGTTATTTTGGGCCGTTATGTGGACGGATATGCCCCCTTTGTAGCCAAACCAGAGACCCCACCACCCCCAGAAAGAGACACATAAAGCCGAGGCACGTGTAGATTTCTATACAAACTCATCAGACCGTAAAAGCAGGAGACTCCTGGCGTGTGCCCGGGTCGAGACGAGGAGGAGGGAG